CTGAATATTAGAATAAAATGAAATTATTTGATGATCTTATCATAAGATAGGTTTGAGATCGATTATACAGGAGTTTTTCTTCAATCAATTGTAAAATAAAATAGATTCTACTTACAATTAGTCTAATTCAGTGAATATCTATGCTCTAGGGAACATAGATATTTAGATAATTTAACACAAATATCATAAACTTTTCGAACTTAACCTTTCATATTCTCATAAAATAGGGATTAATTTAAAAAACTATTCCTATTCAAGATTATTTTTTTAATCAAATTAAATTTTCAATGATTTATCAATCCAGGTTAAGCTAAAACTCATTTAGAATATCCTTACTCAAAAGCGTAGCAATTCTTAACTAGTATATAGTGTCGCACATCATCTGCTGAAACAAAAGAAGGTAACTATTAAACTAGCAACAATGTTAAAATTTTTAACACCCATATATCACCATAATTAGCATTTAAAGTTTAAAATCCTAAAATTTATATACTCAGTTTTAACTACCTATTTCAATAACCTAAAGAAAATAAAAAAGATAATGATTTGATTATGGCCTCTATTCTATGTACTTAAAAGTGTTAATCTTCTGAACTTTTTCAAAGGTTCATCTCAAGTAATTATAAACTTGGTTTTCTAATTGTTAAGTCGTATTTTATCAAATATAATAATTATTATTTTGAGGAATTAAGATTACAATTTAGAAGTATTAATGGGTTTAATGACACTAGGTTCTTATCACGACCAGATTTGATTATATTTTATTTTTTATTGACTAGTCTCTTGGTCTATTACTCAACTTATGTCCTATCAAACTCTTGTCTTAAAGGAAGAAGTAAGTTCTTAGCTCTCTAAAATGACATTCTCAAGCATTTTCACTAACTAGTATCTCCAATTCTTCTAAGTAATTAGGCTTGCTTTAAAACCAATCTCATTGGCTTCATTTAGCTAGTCCATTAGTTCCCTCTAAAATAATATTATTTTTCCATCTAAAGAGTTGAATGCATCTTTTCATCGCAGAGTATGTACTATATAATATTATCTTGGACTTTACCTAAGGTAAAACCTGTATCATAGATATATATAATCTAGCAGCGAACTTGAGCTGCTAGACAACTTCATCCATTATTTAAACATTACTTAACTTTCCAATTTTTATATTTTATCAATCCAAGATATTATTCCTAATCAATTCTGAGATAACCTAATATTATTTCTGAAATGAAGGATTATGAATTTCTTCTCATATAATTAATAAATTTGATATATTTTTTTTTTATACATATACCTCTTCAAACACATCCGTCTTCAAAGTCAGGTAATCCTTTTGTGATTGAAATTTATCATATAAATAAGAGATCCTTAAATTTCTGTTAATCCTAGTTTCAATAGGNTTTCTTATTTAATTGAATCATTATCTAATATTCCAAAAATTCGTGGAGTCGCTTTAATTTCTTCATCTATTTTAATAATGATAACATCCTCATTTTGTGATTTATTCTCTTCTATTTTAGATATAGGCTCTTTATGAATAGATTCTATTTTAATATCTTAAATGGTTATTTCATTCTCATCATTATTTTCAATCTCTTATTTTTCTTATGATATTTTTATGGGTATCTTATCATTTTAAATTGGTTAAAGTTCTTCTTTTTCTAAAATATGCTACTCTTCTATATTATTTTCTTATGAAATTTCTGTATCCTTCATTAATTTCTTATTAACTTTTATTGAAATCTTGTTTTATTGATCTTTCTATTCCTATGATAATATTTATTCATTTTATTGAGATGATTCTTTTTGAACTTCTTCTGGTTAATTTTCTACTAATAATGACTTCTATGAAAAAACTTTTAATGATTTTTTAGATGGTTCAATCAAAAATAAATTATTGACTTCGTTTCTAGACTGAATAGTATTCATTAATACTTATCATCACTAACTTCATTTTGATTATCTAACAATTAATTTTAAAATGTTTGATCCTTAAATTCTGTATTTCTAATTTAGGCTATGACACTAATAGGTATCATCGTATTAGTTTCAAAAACTTCATTACTATATGTAGTAACTGCTAAAACTAATAGCAGCAACTAAATACTATTAAATTATAACATATTAATATATTTATTATAAAAACGGATTAAAGGACATCAAAATCCTCCAGACTTTCTAATTATAAAATTATAGAGCTTAAATATTGAATTTATTATTGATTATAAAGTTATTACACTAATTTTATAATATTAATATATATATTATATCATTTATATTCTCATTAACATTTAAATATATCTATTTATGTATTAGATAATAAATAATTATCTTTATAAAAGTATAATCTTAAACTAATAGAAATTTGATAAATATAGAAAATATATCCTCATTTTTATTTAACTCTTTTTTTCTTCTGTTCCTTTTCATTTTATTTAGCATTCTATTCATAAAATTCTGATTCATCATCTTCAATAATTTTGAGTCTTTTTTTGTTTTGATTTCTTTTTTCATATATACGTTTTGATGAAACATATCCAGATTCAATAGATTCTCCATTTGGTGATGATTTAGAAGATGTTGATTTATTTTCACTAGTATTTAATTGTTCTTTTTGTTTTATAGCATTTGAATTATTTACATTAGTTTAAATTTCTATATTTTCTGTTTCTTATTTATTACTTCGTTTCTTATTATTTTTTTATATTATTAATTATTTATTAGTTTTTTAATTTTAGGTATCTTTGATAGCTTTTTTGTTTTTAGATATAGCAAGTTCATTTAATTATTCTTATTCTATTTCATTTAAATATTATTGATATTCCTATCTACGTTTTTCTTTTCTTTTTTAATTAATTTATTCTTTCTTTTTTATCTCATCATTTGTTTCTAATCTACTTAATGGACACTCCTTTATTTTTGGATTCTTTACTTTTTTTTATTCTTTAATTTATTAATTATTATTATTTTAACCATGTTCATTTAATTCAATTTATTTTGACTCTTCAATCTATTACTAATTATTTTATTATTATTTCAATTCTTTATCTTTTTTATCTAATTTTCTTTATTTATCTTAAGTAATTTTATATATTTATACACAATCAGCATCCAAAAGATCCTCATCATTCTTTTCTTCATCACTCTCTTAATAACTAATTTTATTTTTTATTCTCTTAATATCTTATTATTGTTGATTATCCTTTTATTTATTATCTTATTTTTTTATTGTATCATATTATTGTAATTAATCTAATTATTACTATTTCTCTTTTTATAACTGTTATTTCTCCTAATCCTTATTCTTTTGATTCTCTTAAACTTTCTTCTTTCTATTTGTATTTTTTATAATTTTCTTTTCATTTACTAATTTATCTTAATTGATAGACAAATTAAGATTTTCCATTTCATTATTAATAAAATCTTTTTGTTCAAATTTATTAACTTCCTTTTATTCTTTAACATAATGAATTGTGACTATATCAAACATTGCTTACTTAGTTATTAACACTGATCTCATATTACTCTTGTGTTATTACATAAATAATTGATCTGAAATTCTCTTCTCAAAATTGAAGATCTCACTTTCCCCTTTACTTATTAAAGCTATTTCTGAATATCTTAACCATTTAATTGAGTCTTTTTACTTTTATCTTAACTAACATCTATATAGAATTAAACCTTAATTTATTTATTTCTTTGTTAATATTTTATAAACTTATCTTTATTCTAATAATTTTTACTTTTCTTTTTCCTGTAATTACTTTTCATGTCTAATCTATCTAGCTAATTGTGCCTCTTATAATTATTATTATTTTATAGTTTATTCTGTTTATTTTTCATTTTAAGTCTTCTTTTATTCTTCTTAATCTTTTTCTCTTTCATCCTTCTTCTATATTTTAGATTCTTTATGATGATCACCTTTCTCATCTAAACGATGTCTTTGAATTTACAATGGTAATATTTTCTATTTTTCAATAACACTAAGTTTCTTATCTTTTATTTTAGATAATCCAATTAATAAGTTATTGATACATTCTAAACCTTCTAAATATTCATCTTATTCTATAGGTTTAGTCTAATCATCAATAATTTACTCTTATTTTTTATACAAATCTTCCCTACCTTTTAATCTTAAATATATCAATGAATTTTTAGGATTATAAAATTTCTATTTATACCTTTACTTTATTTCTACATTTTTATTTATTGATAAATTTACAACATTACATTAAATTCATAGACCAATTAATTATAGAATCACCTTTAGTTGATAAAAAAGTAGATCTATTCTTTAAAAACATCACTACTTTGACAATTTCTTTTGGATTTTATATAATAGCTAATATTTTCAATACATTGTGTTTAAATTAAAAACACTTTATTAATCCATTTTATTACATCAAGACCATTTCATTGTTTTGATCTATAGCCATGGCAGTACACCATTAAGATTATAAAATAGGGTCGCCATTTTTGAGTTCGTAGTAAAATGATTTTTAATTTACTTCTTGAATATCTTGCATTTTATTAATATTTAATAATAATGATAAACATAGTTAATAAAAAATTTGTTTTTGAACTGTGATGAGTACTAAACTGACATTATTAATTATTATGTTATTGAAAATTAGAAGATTAAAATTCAATTATTAAGTTACTACTTTAGAAATCATTTATATTATCAATGGATAAATTAACCTTATTGAATTTCTAATAAATACTATACTCAAAGAAAATTCATTTTGGTTTTCTTCAATTCACTCATTAAAAACATTATAAATAAATCTCTATATTGCTACCAAAGCCACGTTCTTTATGTAATGAAAATGAAATTATTGGATGACTTTTAAGATTATCTTGAAGTTATTTCTAATAACATCAATTTATAATCATTAAGAAGGATATCTTTTTCTATTTTAATTCAATAAACTAATTATTATATCATTGTTGTTTTTTTTACTAAAAGCAAAAATGCCTTGAAATAAAATAACACTTATTAGTGATTTTATTTAGCAAAATTGCCACCTTGTCTTCAAAAATTGAAAAAAATGTTAATTATGCAAAAGGATGCAATAATTTGAAAAAATAAAAAGCATTAAGCATATTCAATAAAATTAATTAAAATTTCATTAAATTTTGCCTGTTTTTTAATAGTTTTTTGTTGATTAAATTATGGGCAATTTGAAATAGGGCAAGTATTTTCTATTATAATAATATCATTAAATGGAAAAGCATGATTGAATTAAACCTAATTCTAAAATGTATTAATTAATAAAATTGTTAATTTATTAGTTATAATTCATTAATTTAAAAATTATAAAAAGATTTAATATGCTTCCAACCAGGTGATAAAACTGAAAACCAATATAGTTTAAAATGGAAAGCCGAATAAAATTGTGTTGTTTCAGAAAAGTATATTCGTGATTACAAATAATAATTATAGTGATCTTGATGATACATTAGATGTTCGCATAAGCACATTCATAAACTAAAAATTAGTTTTTCATTATACAGGTGGAATATGAAATGGTTTTGGATCAACTAATTGTAAAACAATTCATAAAGTTCTAATAGAGAATTGAAAGCATCAAGAAAATGTTTATGTAATGTATCATATTATTATTTTAATACAGATCATATAGAATGTTAAAGTAATATATTAGATATAATTAATAGAGTATCATAATTCATGTGTAACATATGGCAAGAATGCATGTTAAGAATATCCTCCTACTAAAACAACTTTATAATCAGGTAATTTATTTAAATGTATTTTGATCAAAAACCTTTAATGATGGATTTTAATTGGAACGCCAAAAATGTAATAAATATTATTAAACATGCAATGTTCTTTCATCAAATTATCTAACATGCGATCCAAATTATAAAAACCTCGATTTATCATCTTTTATTGATAATTAGAATGTGAAAGTATTTAAAATATAAAGTTAATAGCTTGACACTATTCTTGAATATAGTGTTTTGACAATTATGCTGAAAGTTGTGGTGCTTGTTCAGGAATTTTAAATTTCAATAATGTGTTGGTTCACTTTTCGATATTTTTTGGAAAATAAAGAAGTCTTTTAGAGTTCTCTAGTTTTTGACACCATCTAGGTGGCATGAAAATAATGAATAAAAAACAATCATGCAGGTATAGAGTATAATTATGTTATATAATTAGAATTGGTTTAATTATGAATATAGGAAATAAATTTTCGAATTAATCATTCTATTAAATTCATGATCTTTTAAAATTGTTTTTTCATTATTCTTTAAGATTTAATTAGTTATAATCAATAATCAATGTATATGGTAATTAAAGTACTCAATAATGTTTAATTAAATATCAAATTTACTGTTATTTTAACAATAATTATTGATACATAATAAATTGCTTTTTTGAAAACCAACTATATTTTGTATTTTCATATTCTACTTTTTTCAGAGATTTTTCAAGTACTTATGCAAGGAAAGGCATTTATTTCAATAGTCTTAGTCTTTTCATCTATTGCATTGATAAATCGAGTTATATTCATTTATTTATTAAGAATAGGTGTATCTAATAAATTAAAATTCATTAATTATAAAACTTGGCCTATGAATATATGAAATATGATTTTTCATTTATAAAAGTGGAAAATTATTTAATCTATAAAAAATAAATTCTCTATTGCATAATGTTACTTTATGTATAAAAATTATCCAAAATTTTTTTATTTTTCAATTAATAAAACAAGAAACCTATATAAAGTAGGAAAACTAGGCTTT